TTTCCCTATCTCCCACCCCTCCTTCCTCCTCACCACTGTGGCTGTTTTGCTCTCTGTAGAGACTGAAGTGTTATTCTTTCAGTTTATCTTTCTTAATGGTGGAGACGACTGTGGTCTGTTGAAGTAAAAAAGTGCATCCATACTGTGTAGGACAGTCTTGATCTTAACTCTAGATTGTTCACCCAAATTATAAATTCTACTCACAGTACATGATTTTTTATTTTTGGTTTAGTGATTTTGCTGGAGCCCCCTGTGGTACTGGTGCTGGCTGTGGCGAGCACAGTCCCCAATAGAGACGAGTGGGGAAAGCTACATTTTTTTTACACCTTTTTTTTTTTTTTTACATCTTTTCAAAATAAGAATCTCTAGCAACAAGGCAGGAATTGACTAACAATTACACAATTAATCTGATTTACCTAGGCATGCTTTGCTTAAGGAAATGGTTTTATGACTCTATAGTACAATTACTACAATTGACCCATTTTTCAATGTTGGGGGACTGAACTTGTATAATGATCAAATTTGCCTTTAAGATCATGAAATCAATTACTGGTAATTATCCAGGTGATCAGGTGATTATCACTTGAATAATCAGTTCTAACAGATATTGAAGTGTGTTCCAAAAAGGTTTAGTACATTCTGTGCTGAGAACACAGGGGGATTTCTGTGAGAATATGAAGTCTCAAAATCACCAGGGGTCACATACCAAAAAGGCCTATTCAAAATCAGATCAGGTCTAGTCCAGGGAACTGTTGGATCACTGCGGTGGGCAGCACAGAACAAGCAAGGACAAATGCTACTACAGGAAAAGCTGATGTAACATTACATTACTCTCTAATATGAGTACGTCTGTGCAGATTCTCGGTCATCCCGATCATAGTAAGCTGAAAAAATGTAGAAAAAAAAAAAACATCCACTGGACTTGGTTTTGGGTCAATTTTTTTTCTACGTATGATTGAGAAAAGAAGGGCTGCATGTTTTCAGGCATGGTCCCACTGCTAAACTTCAGATTAAGCTCTACATTTCAGTTATTACTCAACAACATGACATTTCATTACATTTCTCTCATCATGATAAAGGCTTATTTCAGGAAACTTGCAGTGTCTCTCTACAGCATGTTGGCTTCACATGAGCCAGGCTGCAGTATCTTAAATGTAACAATGAGTTTAACTGATTTCCTAAACCAGGGGTAAAACAATGCATAGATCAGAGGGTTTAGGCAGGAATTAAAATAGTACACACATAGTACAAATGCAAGAGATGAAGCATTGACCAAGTTACCTTGGGCACTAAGAGACACAAAATAACATGGGCAGAGACATATTAGAAAGATGATTATAACAATCCCAAGAGTCCTGGCTGCTTTCACTTCAGATTTTTTAGTAGTAACTTTGTTTGAAACTGTCAGGGCCGCTCGGCGGCCGCCGCCCCCTCTGTTCTCTTGATCCTGTGGGCTCTGCACCTCAGCTGTGTTGCATTCCAGTAATTAGCGACTGGTTTGTCGATGCACACAGCTGGGGTGCATCCCGATGATTACCTTCTCCTCCTTATTTATACCGATGACAGACGCTCCAGTTTCGCTGGAACATTAACCAAGTACCGCGTAATGTACGTAGATAGAATGCTACGCTGACAGTTTCTGTGCGTTTTGGCTTGACTCTATCACACCACTTATGCGGTTAGCAATACGTGCCTTTGTTTTCCGCGCTGACAGTTCCTGTGCTGTGGATTGCATTGTGTACACTGGTCTTTTTGTTCTTTCACCTGTCCGTCTTCATCTTCCTGCCCTTTTGGTTTTTGCGTCAGTCCCTGGATTCCCCTGT